ATAAAGAAAAAAAAAACAACAACAATGAAAGAGCGTAATAGATATTTCCCTCGTTTCTACAACTATATATTGTATGTCTTTCTCATCTTTGGGCGCCAATAATTTGAAACTTTTAGGAACAAACACAGAATAGATGTCGTGCAAATCGAGATTTTTTTTTTTTTCAAGTGGCCAGATAAGTGATATCGTTAAGATTTCCTTCACTTACGCCCCCCCCCCCAGTGGCACAGCGGTATGTCTGTGGGCTTACAACGCTAGAAGTCGGGTTTTGATACCCGTGGTGGGCAGAGCACAGATAGCCCATTGTGTAGCTTTGTGCTTAACTTCGATGTAGTTATTTTAACAATTCATTGCACTGAGTTCAAACCTACAGGTGTCACCTTTCTACTATCAAAAGTAACGAGAGAATGTAAGTAAAGGTTTGATTGTTTGTTTGATGTAGTTATTTTAACAATTCATTGCACTGAGTTCAAACCTACAGGTGTCACCTTTCTACTATCAAAAGTAACGAGAGAATGTAAGTAAAGGTTTGATTGTTTGTTTAAAAAGAAACAAGTAAATGTATTAACTAATCAGTAGGTCTGTTTGTTCTTCCGTCGTGACTATAACCATGAAATCATGAATAGATGAAACGTTCGAGATAATTCACCAAGTTTTGTCATAGTATGTGGAGGTGTTATATAAAGACTATCCGTTCACCTGTCCATCCGTCCGCCCTTTTCCGCAATATAACTCGAGTTTATTGTTTTATATATTAATTAAATATATTGTAAAATTTCCTTGCAAGGTATCCGTGATTTTAACGGCTATTGGCTCTATACATCTGTTTTGAATATAGACATCCCAGGACGGCATTGAATAATGGGTTAAGGCATCCATCATGAAAATGGGGTGATGTTCTGCCATGTAGAGCTCAAATGCAGAATTTACCTTGAGTATTATATTTACACGGTAATATATACGTTGTTTAAACATACACTGTTTAATCATGTGCAAAAAATATGGTCGAAGCTGGATTAGGAGGTAGTAATGGTTTGTTTTCCTTAGCCCTTATTATTTACCGAGAACACGTTAACGTGATAAAGGTAATATTGACACGAATGAGGTCAATAGCAGTAGACGCTACCGAGAATATTGTTTGATTTTAAACTGAATTTAGAAAATATAGATCCCCCCCCCCTCGATTGAATACGTAGGTATAACCGCTTATCAATATATCAACTGTATGTAATTTATATTCAAATTATACTATACCAGATCCAACATGATAATTCTCTCACCACTTTAAAGGTAAAATAGAATTTTGAAACATCAAGGCTTTCTAATTAATTTATTGTTATGAAATCATTACCTTAGCTGGTGCGAAGGCGAATTCATCTGGTTAGTGTTTTCTGTTAAATAATGTTACTAATCTTCTGTTGAAGGTTCTTTCACATAGTTTCTCTTGTGTTTAGAAGTTCGCATTGTCTGACACGTGTCTGTGTTGTCTTCTTTTCTTGGCATAATCTTTGGACTTTTCCCCTCTCCCTTTGTTTGAACTGTTGGTTAATGATTCTTTCACAAGACAAAGTTATTACGTGTATAAGTACAATGGCTAGCCTCTGTATTAATACCAATATATCCTTTCAGACGTGGATTTGCATCTGAGCTACAGATGCAAATTAAGTTGATAAAAAGATGTATCAGATTATCCCTGCAGCACTATAAATGACTGAGACAAGCACATCTGCAGCCAGTCTAACAGATATGGAGAAAGGTGAAGATATTGCAGCGTTTAAAAGAGACGTGGTAATGGTTACACGTCCAGTAGGTGCAACAGTGACCAAAAAACGACTTGATTAGAAGGTGCTCCAACACACCTGCCATTCGAGTTTATCAGCAATGGAAACATTGAACAAATGTCTGCAGCGAATGGGACCTGCGGCCACAAACACGAAATGATAGAAAGAGGAGAAAGACGTTTAGATATGATAGTAAACTTCAAACAATAGAACAACTGACTGACATTCAGTGAAAACAATCCACACCCATCTTCACTTGTACCCCGTGAAGAACGTGGCAACAAATGAAATATAGAAATAGGAGACCATTGCATAAACACTGAACTCGATTGCCAACAAGAAAAAATGCCTTGAGTCATCTAAAGAGCATTGACATTCGACTAATAATGAACGATGAAAGGTGATTACAGTCCAGTAAATCAAAGTTTACTCCTATTTTGTACAGATGGGTGAAAAGAGATTTGGAATAAACCACAAGAATAACGCAAACTCTTGTGTTAGTCCAACTTTTCAGGTCTCTGGTGGTGGAGTCATGATATGGGGTATGTTTTCTAGAGATATTCTGTGCTCTTTTGTCCCTTGAAAAGACAGAAGTAATGTCACAATTTACCTCAGCATAATTAAATACTTCCAACGATACTTAATGTGTACCATGATGTGGATGGCTACATCCAAGACGACAATGCTTCCATCCATCATGTTCACATTGTGCGTGCATGGTTTGAGGAACATGACAGATACTTCAAGCATTTCCCATGACAACCAAAATCTCTGGAACCCATTTGAGCACCTGTGGTATAAATTCGAAAGATACGTTTACCATCACGATCCTCTGCCAACCTCACTTCATGACTTGCGTACGATATTAATGACTGAATGCTAAAACCCCTCAGGACAGCTTCTTGTGAATTTTTTTGTCACGTAGTATTATGGCTATTATTGTATTCGTTATGAGATATAGTTCCTAATAAGGTGGTCAACCAGTATAGGCAATTTCGAAACAAAAATTGCAAAAAGTCCAAAAATTGCCTATCCAAACATAATATTTGTTATAAATGCTCTAAATTAAAACTTGTAAGGTGAAAGCGTACTACAGCAACTATTCCCCCAATAAAACACAAAAATATTCAGTTTTTCTCTTAGTTTTGTTGGTGTGTTGAATTTCATGCAAAACTACTCGGAAGCAATTTGAGCCAGTAGTTCCTGATTTTGAAGTGGGAAAGCAGCTAGTCAACACCACTCACTGCAATAGGCTAGAGGGAAGGCAGCTAGTCAACACCACTCACTGCAATAGGCTAGAGGGAAGCAGCTAGTCAACACCACTCACTGCAATAGGCTAGAGGGAAGGCAGCTAGTCAACACCACTCACTGCAATAGGTTAGAGGGAAGGCAGCTAGTCAACACCACTCACTGCAATAGGCTAGAGGGAAGGCAGCTAGTCAACACCACTCACTGCAAACTGTTTAGCTACTCTTTACCAATGAATATTGAGATTCACAATCACATTATACTCCCCCCCCCCCCACGTCGAGCATCCTTCTAGTAGTTATAATATATCCATGAGTAAACCTGGCATACATGTTGAACAAATTGGTTAAGGGGGAAGTAAGAACCACTCTTCCCCCTCCCCTCCACTTGAGGAAAATGTTTTCCTATAGCCAGTTTTCACCCATTAGAAAAATTGCTTTAGATAATTAAATGGACTCTTTTTTTTGATATACAAGACTGTTTAGTTTAAGAGTTATTATTTAATTCATTTAGTGATCTAATATTTAGTAATTATTTAGTTTTCATAACAAGAGTGTTAAAAGCTAGTTATTTTAAAAGTTATGACAAATTTCGTTACGTAACTCGGTAAGTCTTACGTTGTGCGTCTAGTTCAGTTGTTGTAATTTGACGTCACATTACTCGAACCTTCTGTATTTTTCTCGTTGCTTTAAGTGAGTACTGTTACATCATAGCGTCTCGTAGCTTGTAGAAAGTTCTAGGCCTCAGTTGGGCAATATATATATAGATAGGCGACCAAGTGAGTGCAAGTATGTTAAGTCAGAAAACGTTAAGTTAGTGAAAGTGAAGCCAGACTGCGTGATTGTTAATATAGCCATAACGGGCAATATCTAATGTGAGTTTTACAGTTTAACAGAGATAAAGGATAATAATTCATCTTGTCAAAGGGTGTTTTAAAGTAATTGAACCCGCCTATGTGGACTTTGACGAAAAGGAGACAATTATTTAAAGTTCTGAATACAACTGTGGTTACCCACAGGGTCACGTAATTGAATTTGTCGCAGACTATACAGTAAGAAACAGAGTAGAGAAAAATAATTCGTCTTGTCAGTTAGGTTCTAAAGTAACTGAATCGGCCTGTGTGGACTTTTGACAAGAAGTTTTAGATACAACTGTAATATCCTATAGTGTAAATATTTTTTTTTACATACGTTTGATTTATTTTGAATATATAATTTTAAAACAAGTGGATTGTGTGTTGACCGTTTATTGTTCGAATATATCGCCAACAAGTCACAGACACCTACTGTAAATAATCCGGCCCTATAAAACCTGACAGGTTCTGGAACCTCCAGAGCAAATGTGATTGTAGATAAGCATTTTTTTTAGGGTGTGGCCATGATAAAAGGATTATTGTGCAACAATAGTATAGAAAATGAAGTATATTCTTAATGTGTTCCCTCTCTTATGTTTCACATTTCCGTGTTACACTGTTCTTATTTCTTTTGCCGTTCATTATTATCAGTTTGTTATTTTCTGAATGACTATTACCGCGTATTTAGAGCCAGTTAGAGGAACTAATCATCGAGTTTTATTAATAATTTGCATGTTGTTCTTTATTCCAAGAGTGAAGTATCAGTCTCTAACATACATGTATATATACCTTTTATTCATTATTTCAATTTTCTTTTCTTTTTTTCCGGTACTGCAACCCATAAAGTTTTTTGATTGTATCGACTGGACTTTATTATCTCTTTTATGACTTTTTCCAAACAACTTTGGAATTGTATTAAAAAATGTTCTTCTCACGCAGTGAGTTTTTTGCCCACATCATTATTTTCATTCTGTATTTCGCCCTATATAATTACCTTATTATGTTTTTCCACTGCAATTACAATTAAGAGCAAAGTTACCCCCCCCCCTTCTAGTTCATACAAATTTTATATTTCTATAGTAATGAATCACTTATTGAATCTTTTTTTACTCTCTCAGCTCTGTAAGCATAGAAAATTGGTTGCTGCCTGCGGCCCTAGCTGGTCATTTCCGGAATATCTACTGGGTGAAGCCGTCGTGGTCACGTCAGTTGGAGGATGGCATTCATCACTTTCAAATAGGACGGCACAAAAAGACAGGACAAGTACGGTGAGTTGATATCGATTCATCACTTCTAAATATGGGATGGCACAAAAGATGGCGGTTATATAAGTGATAGAGGTTATTTATCACTGAATAGCAGAGTGAAACAGAGCAAGTGGGGTGGGTTTATTGTTAGGGTTGAAGACCAGGAGAAAAGTGACGACTGAAGGTGTTTGTCTATGTCAAACAGTGTAGCAAGATTCCAAACATGCAATTTTCTTGTTTTTAAGGACACAGTTAAGGGATATTCATGGTGATCCGAACATCAGTGGTGTGTTTTACTTTGAGTAAATGAGTTTTTATTTATTACTTAAACACGTTGCAAGTGTAGGATATCAGAAATGTGTATTTAAAGTTCTCACTTTTCGGTAGCAGTGAGAAAAATAGGTTTGTGTAACTTCATGGTTTCTACATAATAAGAAAGTTAATGATTCAAAGATCCACACTTTACTGTAACTTGAAATTTTCAAGAGAATACCCATCATTTCTATATATCTATAATTTATTTTGTTTTTACGTGAGATTGTTTCTTTCCAGGTTCTACACAAATCAGTGTTAAGGACATTCTCTTTCTTTTTTTTTTTATACAGAGTTTTTATTATATGTTTAACTGTAAGATTACACTGATTTGCTTATCACCCTGCTTCAGAAATACGGCATACCCGTTTTATTGCAGGACTGTTACAGCTCGTACTTATAACTAAAGAAATACGATGTCTCAAAAATAACGCGTCTTTATGCGATCTATTTAACTATGACTTTTTGTTGAACCGATGTAATGCAATGAACTTATGGCGTACATAGTTTAATATATTCACTGTACGAAAAGTTGGTATGAATGACTTGATATATGTGACAACATTTACATCTATAGGCTTTTTGAAAACCTAAAACCACCTTAAAAAAGTAGGTAGATTGACGTTCATGGAGTTTATAGCAATGGGGAAATTTGTTGAAACAACCCATTAATTGGTTGTACGTTGAAAAAAATTTGGTCAAAATAAAGCAGAACAAAAACAAAAAAGCTTTGAGTAATATCGACCCAACGTAAACCTTTCTTATTTTGCGGAATTTTGGTAAGAGCTTAAAGTTGAGGTTTTCTCTAAGAAGAAATTTTAAAAATATTCCATTTTTCTACAGGCCAGGCGTGGTGCTGTGGTTAGCATGTCGCTGTATGGATAGAAGAGTCCGGGGTTCGAGGCTTGTTGCAGGCCAGGCGTGGTGCTGTGGTTAGCATGTCGCTCTATGGATAGAAGAGTCCGGGGTTCGAGGCTTGTTGCAGGCTAGGCGTGGTGCTGTGGTTAGCATGTCGCTCTATAAATAGAAGAGTCCAGGATTCGAGGCATGTTGCTGTCGAACACGCGCCACCTTTCAGAGATGGATGCGATATAAAAATAACAACCAATACCGTTTCTCAGTTCAAAGAGCTGAACAAAGTTTTATTGTCGGTGGGTATTGCTGAATGGATGCCTTCCTTTTGGTCAGTAGTTCAAAATAGTCGCATCCTTGGAGTTTCTGACCTGGTCGTTTAACCAACGCGTGCACAAGATACCGTTTAGGCTTAAAATTCCAATTCCTTGCCGTATTTTTGTTGAAGTTAACGTTTATTCGAAGAGCTGTCTATAACGAGCTCAACGACCAAGTATAACACAAAAAGTATATTTTATTACAAATTTCTGTTTCACCACACATATATCTATTGTTTTTCGTGAAATTAGAAAATAGCTTCCATATGCAATACACAGGTCCAGGGGGCGGATTGGGAGCCTAAAACGGCCAGGGCAAATACTCAAAAATCAGGATGATATATAGAAAGAGAGATGTACAGTAGGTTAGTCAGTAGCACTGGGACAGTATGCCCACATTATCACCCCTCTGGCCCAGGCGTCACCGGCCCAATCCGCCCCTGCACAGATCATGGAGATGTGTAGTCTTTTTCGTAAGTAAAAGTTGATACAGACAGAGGGTGTCCAGAAAGTATGGAACATAAATAAAACAATTTGTTAGCTGAATTCTGGGATACCATCCAGACGTTTAGATATTTTCTGATTGTCGGTGTCAAGTTTCTCGGTCAACTATAATTAAATTAATATATTTTTTTATAATTCGTGAGAACCCGGCATGGCCAGATAGCTAGAGCGCTCGACTCGCAATCTGAGGGTCGCGGGTTTGAATCCCCGTCACACCAAACATACTTGCCCTTTCAGCCGTGGGGGCGTTATAATGTGATGGTCAATCCCACTATTCGTTGGTAAAAGAGTAGCCCAAGAGTTGGCGGTGGGTGGTGATGACTAGCTGCCTTCCCTCTAGTCTTACATTGCTAAATTAGGGACTGGTAGCGCAGATAGCCCTCGTGTAGCTTTGCGCGAAATAAAAAACAAACAAACAATAATTCTCGATGTCACACCTGATATTCAGATATTTTAACCAGAAACAGCCATCCCTCGTACATTATGGTCTCCTGGGTGGACCAGCGTTAAGTTTCTGAACAAAGCTAAGGTCTAGGGTTCGATTCCTCGTAGTTGACAAAATGCAGGTAGCCTATTGTATATCTTTGCACTAGACAACAGTTCTACATTATGACAATTGGAACAGAGTCACATTGTGACTGGTTTCGTGAAATGAGTGACTTTGGTCAGTTTTCTAAAGTGTGGCATTATTTATAGAAAACACCCGTATGAAACGTATACACACTTCTTTATTTAAACAAAATCTACGTATGTATTGTTTGCAATTTGTCAAAACCGTACTCATGATTATATACAACGAATATTTTACATCCTTTCATTCCCACTCGCAGGCTGTTAAATATTGACAACGTTTGTTCTCCCAAATTGTTTCACACTGTTCTGATACGTTTTCATATACGTATGTTTGTTCAGCATATTGTCCTATACACTTTCAGTACGTTTTCAGTGATATTCTTCCATAATGGCGTGATAACTTTTCATTATGTTTGTTCAACCATATTCTCAAATACATTTTCAATACGTTTTCAGCGATATTGTTCCATACTGGAATGGGAACTTTTCAATACGTTTGTTCGACCATATCGTCCTATACATTTTCAGCGATATTGTTCCTTACTGGCACGAGAACTTTTCAATACGTTTGTTCAACCATATTGTCCTATACATTTTCAGCGATATTATTCCTTACTGGCACGAGAACTTTTCAATACGTTTGTTCAACCATATTGTCCTATACATTTTCAGCGATATTGTTTCTTACTGGCACGAGAACTTTTCAATACGTTTGTTCAGTTAATGAATGTTTTCATTAAGTTTATACAGGGGCATTGTTCTTCATTCTTTTATACATAATCTTTTTTTTTACCATTTTTATGCAGTGTTTGATTTTTCGTGTTAGGCTGAGCTTATTTTGGTGAACATGAGGACTGTTATTAAAGTTCATAAGAATCGTGACTTTCCTATAAAATGTAAAGGGCTTTCACTAGGTCATGTGATTTTTAGCCTTTTACTAACTCAAATTACATATTACTTCACGATTATCGTCATCATTATTATTATCCGAGTATCACTATCATTATTTCTTTTACTTTAGTGTATAGTTTTTTTATTAAATCTAAACCCTAATGTTGTACTACTTTTGTTGATTAAAATGCAGATGAAGCTAGTTAAGAAATATAATATTATATTAAAATGGTATTTTCATGTAGTTAAAATCTACATTCTACAGATAGTTTTCTTTGGAATGCAACAGGCTAGCCTGAATTTGTTGTTTCAAGCAGCATGCCTTAAGATTTATGCTACAAAAGAGGGCGTTTAAAAATGAATACATACACTCTTAATTTTGAGGCAGGTGACCAGTCGTGGAGGTCACCTTTTTAATGGCCCATAAGAGTCGTCAAGAAGAACCTGGAGTAGTTTACTACGTGGGTCGTCGTAGAAATATAGCCTAGCGGATCGTAACTGTCGAGAAGCCTGTAATGGACGACTTCAGAATTGTGGTTAGCTTGTAATAACTCTTACAAAATGGAGAGGTCATGTGCCCTGAGAAGCAGTTTTCAGGTCTCCTTGTCGAAAGGTTGGGCTTACCTTTACTCCGTTGAGCGTAAAACCCAACTAGAAGTTTCTTTTCGTACTTTGAAAGTCAGTTCAGCTCTTCTACTGTGCCCATCATACTTTGCAAAAAGCACAATGGCGACTGATATTTATGATTTGTCTGTGTGCTGTTCAAATCCAGCATAATTGTAGAGTCTGGAAGAAACAAAAAAGTTTCAACGGAAAGTGATATATCAAGCTGCAAACCCATTAAAAACAACAACTTTGTGTACATACCAGCGAAAAGCTCCCCTTTCTACCATTAATATGCATTTTTGTAGTGAATGAAAACGTTAAATTTTAATTTTCAAAAATACATCATCTTATTAGGTAATGTAGATAAATTAATGACATTTTGCACCGAAATTTTTTTTTTACTTTCTTGGAGAGCTTGGTTAAATCACGATTGACTTTCTAGTCTTAAATTCTAAAATCTGAAATTATTATTTCTCTATAGCCCTTTTTAATTGCATATTTAGTTTTTATTCTATTTTCTCTTTAACACAATGGTCTGGTATGGCCTGGTACTTAGGGCGCTTGACTCGCAATATGCGGGTTCGAATCCCCGTCTCACCAAACATGCTCTCACCTTGCAGGTTTACCTCTAGGCCATGGTAAGTCTTCGGATTTACAACGCTAAAATCAGGGCTTCGATTCCCCTCGGTGGGCACAGCAGGTAGCCCGATGTGGCTTTGCTATAACAAATCACACACACACACGCCTTTTCAGCCGTGGGGGTGTTATAATGTGATCACTCATCTCAACGCGTGTTTCGTATACTTAATGAAATAAAGTTTAAGAGTGAACCGGTAACTAAAATTTGATAGTTTAATTAGTTTGAGCACGTACATGTAAGCTGTCAACAGGGAAATAAGCTAGATTCCGGGATCACTCAATTTGAATTAATCAAAAGATTGTTAAGAGTACATTACTCAGATCTGG